ATTAAAAGCCAGGAAGCCAGAGAGAAGAGCAATCAGCAGAAGGGATTAGGTGAGGAGAGGAAACTCAGGCCCACCCAGAGTAGCAGGCTGGAAGAGCAGGAGAAAGGGAATAAAAGCCAGGAACCCAGACAGAGGTACAGTCAGCCACACGGACCCAGGTGGGGGTAATACGAGAGGTCTCCAACAGCAAGACAAACTTGTCTGTCAGTTTGTTCTGCTGTGGGGAAATGTAGACATGAGTTTTGAGGCTGAGCCTCTGGTGTTTAAAACCCAGCGAGATGCACCTGGTGCACAGGTAACAGCCCAGTTTATAGACTGAGACAGACTAGGAGGAAGGAAGAGGCCATCCACTTCTCAAAGAATTGGCCAGGGAAAATCTTATGAATTCATTCCTGAGATGCATGAAAATATAATTTTTCTACAACCTTTGCAATTCTATTCCTTCCTTATGTGTACACAAACGTTACTACTGGCAACATAAGATCTTTCTCATCTGACGTGGGGCCTAATGTTCAAAGTCTTTTTTCCCTCCCTAAAATAGGTCCTATGTTTTTGTGCAGTTTTAAATAAAGAATTTGTTTTTCAGGTTTTAGATAAAAGAGACACCGGCATTTCATTGAAACAAGAAAAGAACGAAGTTGCTGTTATCGACAAAGGTAAAAAACAGAACTTGGTTTACTTTTATTATCTGTAATGTTGGAGAGGACTTCAATATGACTTATGTGACAGCTGGAGATATAGATCAGAATTTTATCAATAATTTGCAGTTTTAAAAAATAAATTTATTGTTACAGAGTGGTAAAAGGATTTAGTAGAGAGTGAACCAGCCTTATATGTTTTGAATGGGCAGAGAAATACTTCTAACTGAAAAAAGGGCCACCAACACTACCACCCTATTTGAAACTACAAATAATAGAGTTATGCCACCCTTAGCATTGAATTCTATTTAGAATTTTCCTGAAGACTGATACTAAAAACTCTCTATGCTATTGAGTTGGATCTGACTAATAGAGACCCCTCCTTGGGTTTCCAAGGTAATATCACTATGGAAGTATATTGCCCAATCTTCCTTCTGAGGAGTGGCTGGTGGGTTTGAACTGCCAGTCTTCTGGTTAGCAGTCAAATACCTTAGGCACTACACCACCAGAGTTCTATCAGGTTTAAAATTTTCAAATTGATTTAGAAAATTATAATGACAACCTATTATTTTTAATCTTTTAGTCCTTTTCCTGCTTTTTATGATTCTTCAGGCCACTAAGAGTAATTCTACAAACTCATTTTATTTAGTTCCTTCATGTCCATAGGATGTAATTTATCTCAGGTGAGAGGCTTGAACTTACTTCAAACATAATGTTGTCATATATAATATTTAATCCAAATATAATTTCCCTGGATAGAGAGAAGCCAGAAACAAAGTGGACTAAGTTTTATTTTATTGATGTCCATTCATTGTTATTACTATATATGTATAAAGCTGGGTGCATTTGGAGCAGCTTTGAGGAAGGTTAGGAAGTGAGCAGAGCAGGTTGGAACAACTAAGAGAGACAAATGTATTTGTCAGATTGTCATCCTGTGGTGGTTTGTGTATTGCTATGAGGCTGGAGGCTATGCCATCAATGTTACAAATGCCATCAGGGTTACCCATGGTGGACAGATTTCAATGGAGCTTCCAGACTAGGACATACTTGGAAGAAGGAAGAGGCCATCCACTTTTCAAATAATTGGCTAATGAAAAGCTTACAAATAGCAGTGAAACACTGTCTAATATATTACTGGAAAACTCTATGAATAGCCCTGACACATTGTCCAATATAGTGCTGAAAGATGAGCCCCTCAGGTTGGAAAGCACTCAAAATACAACTGGGGAAGAATTCTCTACTCAAGAGTAGCATTGACCTTAATGATATGGATGGAATAAAGCTTCTGGGACATCCATTTGTTGAAGTGGCATGACTCAACATAAGAAGAAATAGCTGCAAACTTCTATTAATCATCAGAACATGGAATGTAAGAAGTATGAATCTAAGAAAATTGGAAGTTGCCAAAAAAATGAAACGGAACACATACAGATCAATACTCTAGGCATTAGTGAGCTGACATGGACTGGTTTTGGCCATTTTGAATCAGACAACCATATGAACTACTATGTCAGGAATGACAGATTGAAGAGGAATGGCATGGCATTCATCATCACAAAGAATGTTTGAAGATCTGTCCTAAAGTACAATACTGTCAGCGATAGGATAATATCCATATTCCTACAAGGAAAACCAGTTAGTACTACTGTTACTAAAATCTATGCTCCAACCACCAAAGCCAAAGATGAGGTAATTGAAGATTTTTATCAACTTCTGCAGTCTGAAATGGACCAAATATGCAATCAAGATGTGTTGATTATCACTGGTGATTTGAATGCAAAAGTTGGAAACAAAGAAGTATCACCAGTAGTTGGAAAATACGGCCTTGGTAATAGAAATAATGCTGGAGATCGCATGATAGAATTGTGCAATACCAAGGACTTTTTCATTGCAAATACCTTTTTTCAACAACACAAATGGCAGCTATACATGTGGAATTCTCCAGATGGAGTACACGGGAATCAGATTGACTATATCTATGGCAAGAGGCAATGGAGAAGCTCAATATCTTCAGACAAAACAAGACCAAGAGCCAACTGTGGAACAGACCATCAACTGCTCATATGCAAGTTCAAGTTGAAGTTGAACACAATTAAAACAAGTCCATGAAAGCCAAAATATGGCCTTGATTATATCTCTCCTGAATTTAGAGACCATCTGAGAAATAGATTTGATGCATTGAACACCAATGACCGAAAAACAGAGGAATTGTGTATTTGTACTCATTCCAAAGAAAGGTGATCCCACAGAATGTGGAAATTATTGAACCATATCATTAATATCACATGCAAGTAAAGTCTTAGTGAAGATAATTCAAAAATGGTTGCAGCATTATATTGACAGAGAACTTCCAGAACTGCAAGCTGGATTCAGAAGAGGACATGGAATGAGAGATATCATTGCTGATGTCAGATAGATCTGGCTCAAACTAAAGAATACCAGAAAGATGTTTACTTATGTTTTATTGACTATGAAAAAGCATTCAATTGTGTGAATCATAACAAGTTATGGATAACATTAAGAAGAATGAGAATTCCAGAACATTTCATTGTACTTATGAGGAACCTGAACATAAACCAGGAGGCTGCTGTTCAAACAGAGCATGGTTCCCTTCAAGAAGGGAGTGCATCAGGGTTGTATTCTTTCACTATACTTATTCAATTTTTACACTGAGCAAATTATCCGAGAAACTGGATTACATGAAGAAGAAAGTGGCATCAGGATTGGAGGAAGGCTCATTAACAACCTACAATACACAGATGACTTTGCTTGCTGCAAGTTTGGATGACTTGAAGCACTTACTGATGAAGATTGACAATTACAGCCTGCAGTATGTATTACACTTCAATATAAAGAAAACAGAATTTCTCACAAACGGACCTATAAGCAGCATCATGATAAATGGAGAAAAGATTGAAGTTGTCAAGGACTTCATATTACTTGTTCCACAATCAACACCAATGGAAACTGCAGTCAGATCAGACAACGTACAGCACTGGGCAAATCTGCTGCAAAAGACAAAAGACCTCTTTTAAGTGCTGAGGAGAAAAGATGTCTCCTTGAAGACTAAGGTGTGCCTACCCCAAACCATAGTATTTTCAGTCGTCTCTTATGCATGGGAGAGCTGAATAATGAATAAGAAGACAAAGAAGAGTTGATGCTTTTGAGATGTGGTGTTGGTGAAGAATGCTGAGAGTACTGTGGACTGCCAAAAGAACTAACAGATCTTTCCTGGAAGAAGTGCAGCTAGAAGGCTCCTTGAAAGTAAGAATGGCCAGACTTTGTCTCACCTACTTCGGTCATGTTGTCAGAAGGAATAATTCCCTGGAGAAAGATATCATGCTTGGTAAAGTGCAGGGTCAACAAAAAAGGGGAAGGCCCTCAGCAAGATGGATTGACACAGTGGCTACAGCGATGGGCTCAGGTATAGCAAGGATCATGAGGATGGCACAGGACCAGGCAGTGTTTCGTTCTGTTGTCCATAAGGTCACCGTGGGTTGGAGATGATTTGACGGCACAAAGCAACAACATTTTGTTATATATTATAGTACTATTCTTTATTTTATTTTAATATTATTCCATTAGTCCCAAGAAACAATCCAGTGTTTTCTCCATCATATTCTTGAAATGTTTTAAAGTCTTTCTCATTCTCTCTAGCAAGACTCAGCTCCTTTTGGCACCATCATTCCCATTTTTTTTCTTACGGGTGCATGCCACCATTTTGGTTCACTCTTGGTTTTAAACTCTTCCTTAATACTTTATTGGTTAGGTCATCTCTTCAGCTATTCATTCACAACTTTCTAATTAAGCCTATTAGTAAGATTGCTAAGAAATCACACTTTTTCTTTTTCATTTTAAGATAATTTACAGTTCCACAATCAAGAATGGTTTTGTAAAGCCTTCTTAATTTTACAGCCAATCTTTTATAGAAGTTTCAAACTATTACTGTAATTTCAATTGTGGTCCTGTTGGATTTTCAAATCATAACGGAAAAAATAGTTAATACAATTTTGATCCAAAAATTAATAATTTAAAGTACTCATCCTGGGTTTGACAGGAACAAATTGTAAAATATTTTCAAATGACTATAATTATGGATTAGTTGACTATTGGGTAGAAAATTTCATTTTGTATGCATGTCAGTGAGTAAAACTAATAGTGCCTGCAGTGTACTTGGAAAACCTCTCTCTGCCCATTCTTTTTTCATTTTTCAAATGGAGTTAGACAGTTCCTCAGCCGTTTACCAACCATCTGAAATGTTCCTTGTTGCTATCTTTGTTCCATATGGACTTCAATAGACAAAAAATTTGTCCATTTTTTGGACAAATTTGTTGGCAAAAGTTTATTTGATGGAACAAGGTACCACAAAGAATTCTAAAGGAAGATGGAAAAATGACACATTGGTTTATTGCCTATATTGTGTCCCCAAGACATTCTTATAACCAGTCAATTGTGAGCAAAAGATTTCTGCTTCTCTGAGTGACTTTAACTAACCTCTTTGAAACAACAATTTTGATATTTGCTAAGCAAGAGGACTGACTACTTGACTTCAGATTTCTTCTTGCTTTGTTTCACTCTCAACTGAAGATACATTTTTCACTTGTACCTGTCAATATGTGAGAATTTGAACTCAAAATAGAAGTATAGAAGTGGATGAGGTACTAAGGGGAAAATAGAGGGTTTTTTGGGCTGAGGGTGGTGAGAGTAGAAAATATGAATTCTGAATACACTGATAGCAGCTAATAAACGAAATTTTAAAAAATATCACTTATAGAGACTGTTGGGTTATTCCTTACCCTATATGTACTTTCCAAAAAGATGCTTATAAATTTTCTTAGGAATATATTGGTCAACTCTTCAAATAGATGTTTGAATACAGGCTCAAATTATATGTATGTAGTTACTGAACTGCTAGCACTTCTTTTGGTTCAGTATATTTCTGAACATCAAAACATTATAGCCTTAATTTTGTCTGTGTTCTTTTGAAGGAAAACAGGAGCTGTGCAGTGTTGCTCCAGAAATAAAGAGAAACTCTTCATTGCCTAACGTGAAAAGGTCAGTGTACTGCAATTATATAAATGCCAAACCAAAACAAACCCACTGCTGTCGAGTTGAATCAGACACATTGCAACCCCTCTTTGGGTTTCTGAGGCGATATCTCTATGGAAGTAGATTGCCTGACCTTCCTTCCAAGGAGTGGCTGGGGGGTTTGAACCTCCAGCTCTCTGGTTAGCCATCAGATGCCTTACACACTATGCCACCAGAGTACAATTAAACTGTTGAAAAATAATTATCAATATTTAAATACAATAAAAAGGAAAATAATAGTAACAAACAAAGACAATTAAGAATAGAATAAAATTTTATAAAGAAGACAGGCAGGAATAGAATACATTAGATTTCTTACCATTTTCCCCAACTCTTTTCACTTCCCTTCGTAAGGATTATGGGATAATGGAGAAGGTTTAATTTTCTACTCAAAGCTAGTAAATATACATACACACATATATGTGTGTGTGTGTGCATGTATGTATACGTATGTATTTAATTATAAAGTCATTGAATGCTAGGGTTTTCTTGACGTAAGACTTCTCTCATGTTTAAAATAAAATCATTTGAATATTTTGGATACCCAGTAAAAATATATTTTCAAAGAAGCAAGCTCTTATCTTCTAACTTACCTACAACAAACCTAGCAAAGCTGTTTTCAAGGTACTTAGACCCAGTTTCTCTGAATCCAAATCCTGTGCTCTTTGCACAGGAGAATGGTAAGGACAAAGAAAAAAAAGAGAGAAGAGCTTTTATTTTCCTGCACTTGCTGTCAAAGTATTCACTCTAACATTCAAATCTCATCATTTCACTGTTCTACTTAAAAGCCTTTCATAGCCTTTCATCATTTTTAAGGTAAGTTACAGCCTCCTTACCATAGCATCAAGCCCTTTCAGGATCTGCCTCCTGCCTCTCTCATAAGCTCCTGCTTTGCTTTCCAGAATATCTCAATTACTTGTAGTTCTGTTTCATAACGTCCTTGTATCTCTTTGCCCACACTCCTTCCTTTGTGTGAAGGTCCTCTGCAATTTGTACATCAGTCTAATATCCTCTCATTCTCCAAGAGTCAGTTGAAGTGTTCCTTTCTTTGGAGACCTGATTCTCCAAGGAAAACTCAGGTATTCACAGAGCCACTGTTGAAATGATCAGCTTGCCCTGCAGTTTGTTCAGCTTCAGAAATTATTTATTAAATACCAACTGCATTTCAACACTGTGTGGGGTCCTTGTGATAAAATGGTGAGCAAGTGGTATTGTCTGTTTGAATATTTGTCTTCCTATTGCATAATAGTTCGGTAACGGCAGGGGCTTTATCTTTCCTTCCTTTTGTATCTAGCTTCAGAGAGATCTCTATCTTGGCCACTCCATCTAAAGTAGTTCATTCCATTTCTGAGCAAGTCACACTATCAAATTATCCTTTTATTTTTCTCAGAGCTCTTAACACCATCTGAAAGTAACTTTCACTCATCTATCTCTTTTGCCATTTTATGTTCCAGCTTGCTTATTTTCTATATTTTTTCACTAGAAGGTAACTCACTCTCTGAGAGCAGGAATTGTGTGTAGTTTGCCCTGGTGGCCTAGTCTCCAGAATGGCACCTGACTTACAGTTGATGCACAATAGTATTTATTGGTTGAATGAATGATATGATTTTTTTTTCCCCAGATCTTTGGCCTTCTTATGGCCAAAGCTTTCCTGGAGTTATTTATTAAACCTTGAATTAAAATTTAAAATCCATGCAAACATTAATTTAAAGCACCTTTGTGTGCCTGTTTGTGTGCATTATTTCATACATCATTTTAGGTCTTTGTGAGATTGTGCTTTTTGTTTCTTTTCTTAATCACTGCTAAATCATAAATATATTGCAAATGTTAGAAGTACAATAAACTAAAACAATGTTAATGGAAAGACTGTCAAATCCAGTGCTAATGGAAGTACTGATAAAGTTGATCACCATAATAACAATCTACAACAATAACAATGTTGTTGTTGTTACGTGCCATTGAGGTGGACCTGACTCATAGCGACCCCTCCTTGGTTTCTGAGGTGGTATCACTATGGAAGTAGATTGCCCAACCTTCCTTCTGAGGAGTGGCTGATGGGTTTGAACTGCCAGCCTTCTGGTTAGCAGTCAAGTGCCTTAGGTACTACGCTGCCAGAGCTCCCAACAATAATAATAGTTAGCTACTATTTGCTGAGTGGGTTCCTAGGTGGTGCAAATGGTTAACACGCTCAGCTGCTAACCAAAAGACTGGAAGTTTGAGTTCGCCAATAGGCTCCTTGGAAGAAAGCCTGCCATTTCTGAAAACTCAGCCATTGAAAATCCTATGGAGCACAGTTCTACTTTGACACACATGAAGTCACCGTGAGTTGGAGTCCACTCAATGGAATTTTTTTTTATTTTTATTTCACTGAGCACTTACTAATAGTACTCACTGACCTGAGTTATCTGTATATTTTGTTACATCTAAAGCACAATTCTGTGAGGTAGATATTGTTACTATTTGACAAATGCAACCATATCAGAGAAGAATTTTCTGCACTCTGGTATATTGCATCTTATCCTCCGTCTCTAATTCTAGCATAAATTTCCAGCATCCATAAAATGGTAAAATGATTTTTTTTAAGTATTTCCTTAATAAAATATCAGCACAAAGGAAGATATAATTAATGAGCATTCAGATATTGTGCAAGCATTCTTTAACAGATAATTAAACATTAGTTTATATAATGTTCTTAATCTTAAAAAACTCAGTTGAAGTTAGACAATATAATTAACGCTAAAGAACTGTTGACAGTAGAAGCACATTCCATCTGACATAAACTATTATCCAATTTTAGAAAGGCCTGTGTAGTATAAACATATAAAATTCTCTAGAGCTGTGATCTTACTTTGTGTGCATCATTATGCAAGAACTACAAGAATCTCTTTATCACTTGACAAAGTAAGGCCTATATGATCTGACCTCTACCAACCTACTCACCTTCATCTCCCATATTGGCCCTAGTGCCTTGTTCTTTTTTGATCCCACAACCCTGAACACTTTGGGTGTCATTAACAACACTATTTTATGCTTTCTCACTGTGGATTATTTTCCATGTTGCAGCCATTTATCCTTTTTTGTTTGTTTGTTATGATCAAGGTATTCTTTAATTATTACATTACACCTCACATAACTATAAAGGAGGCATTTGTTCAAAGGAGGGAACAGTATCTCTGGGATTCATACAGCCTTTTAGAAACATGTCTGGTTAGCTCATCTGCACCCTATGATCATTACACTTCACGTGGAGTATTCTTTTTCTCCCTGATCTTAACTCTAAACTGACTTTGTCCCTCTTATTTTGTTATTTCTGTATATACTTTCTCCCAGCCTGAAGTAGGACTTTAGTTTGAATGCTTCCTTCAAAAATAAGAGACAAGTGGTAAGTGATTACTGTTGTTCAGAATAAATTATCATCACTTCTGTTTAATTGTGGCTAACCCAAAATATTGAAACAAAATTTGTCAAGGATAAATAGTAACTCTTCTAGTTGAGAATTGATTTTTTTTTAGAATCACACAAGTGTTCATTTTTAGTACATTTCAGCATGTTTACTCTCATTTGTTATATAACAATATTTCTGAATTTATTAGAATCTAATGTTATTCCTGTTTTGGAATTATAAACCTCTGCTTGTTTTTTCCCAGTGTGACAATGGAAGATTTAAATGCAAGTTCTGGACACAAAGCCAGAGTTTCTGTGAGTGGCAATTGTGAAGTTGCTTCTTCTCTGGCAAAGTCTTTTCAAAATACATTTATCAAGGAAACAGTGAGAAAACTGATGTCTAATTTAAGGTAAAGGTATTTACTAACATTTCCACATGCTTAGCTGAACATTCCAAGCAGTGGCAACTTAAGCTTTTTTTTTCCCTATTGAGTGTTGATGTTATTGAGAAAATTCATAGAATGAATTTATGATTTGTCTCCTAACTGCACTGACTTAGGTATCACAATGAGTAAAATGTCCCTTGGAATAAAACTGTAGTGGTTATCTGCCTTTTGTTAGAAGACCCGATGATATAGTGAATGTTAATCTTCTCCTAACTGTAATAACGAATTCTTGTTACTTTTTTTTTTTTTGCCTCATAAAGCCTCTCAAGACATTTGTATAGCCTTTTAAAAAGTCTTTTTGTAGTTTTAGATACTGAACTTACTGACTTTTATGGTTTTGTTCAATGCAGAAGATTAACCTTTGTGGGTGTGGTTGTTTGGGATATTTAGATGTCTTTGGGCCCAGTTCACAAAGGATGGAAACCAGAAGGAGACAAAGTCAAAGATTCAGAGTCTTTCCAAATAGAACCAATGATCAAGCCTGTAATGTTAGTTTACAGAAGAACTCTCTGAAGTAGGTGTCATATCAGGGGGTGGAACAGTAGCTCCACTAATTTAGCACAGCCAGTTTGTCTTGTTGGGTTTGGGGACTATTCGGAACCTTTATAGGGTGAGGCTTGGAATCAAAGAGAACACATACCATGGCCTAGCAAGAAGAGTGTTTCTGCTCAGCACAGTGATTAACAGAATATTCCAGAGGAAGAGAACTGGCAAAGGGAACAGGAACAGGTAGGAAGAAAGAGAACAACAAATTGATGGGAGGCGGGAGATATGTTCAAGGTGTTGCAGCCTCTAGTCATTCCCCAGCCTATAGTTTTGTTTGTGAAAGAGACTGCCAAGCACTGTGAAACATGAATTCAGTAGAGCCATCTCAAAGTTTATAGAAGCCTAAGTGGCAGCACCCAGGGCTTTGAGGGCTATGCGTCTCAGGGCATGGAGGCTTCACCTTTATCTTTAGGACTCTTAACAACACCAGTCCTTCATCAGGAGAAAGGAGGAAGTGCTCTCAATTGTATGCAGGTGGATTAACCTTGAACTTTGCATCAGAACCTATTTTTACTAGTGATATTAATGATCCATAGACAAGTCATAGCTGATTAATGAAGGTGGACTCCAGAGCATCAAGTTCTGATCACCAAGTCTGTCATAGTGCCTGGGTGGATGGGCTTACTCTAGCCTACAAATAAGACAGAAGCAGTCTACACCTCAGTGTTGTACAGATATCATGAGGTTGCAGAAGGCCACATGTGGAGTGATCTGGGTGCATGTCCCTGAAGAATGGGGTTTTCCAAATAGTTTCTTACCCTTTGTCAGTATTGTTCCAGAAGTAGTATTTAAAGTTCTCAGCTTTGAAGTTGAATAGACATAAATTTGAATCCTGGTGTGTTACTTACTAGTTCTGTGATTCAACCAAGGCATTGTACTATGCAATAACTCATGTATGCATGTGCCTATATGTAATGTCACTGGGTGGTACAAATGTGTAACATGCTTGGCTGATAACCTAATTGTTAATTCAAGTCCACCCAGAGGTACCTTTAAAGAAAGATCTAATGATCTACTTCTGAAAGAAATCAGCCACTGTAAACCATACGGAGCACAGGTCTACGCTGGCACACAGGAAATCACCATCAGTTGGAATCAATTCTAAAGCAACTAGTTAACTGGTGCCTGTATATATTTGAGTCAATGTGCGAATAACATTAAAAATGTATAGCTAATCATTGAGGCCCTGTTTCTAATGACTAGGACATTGCTACAGGTGAATCTGGCTTTCTTGATAATAATTGCTATCATTTTGACTCTTTATTAAAATTTAAAAATTCTTCCAAGTGCTCTATGCACATTATTTCCTTACTTCCCAAAACTTAAGAGATTGATATTATTTTTATCTTCATTTTATGAATGTAGAAACTGAAACTCAGAGAAACTAAATAACACACAGTCACATAGACAACTACACAGATACAGAGGATTAGACCAGATTAAGTATCCCCTTACTCTCAATACTGTTGAAAACTGGAGAGACCTATCTGGGTGCTTCACAGAATTTATTAGTCTTTTCAGGTTAGATAAACTCTCTTTTTCAAATTCATCATTTCCTTATTTTCACTCAGCTAACATTTGTTCTGCATCTAAATGTAATATTTCTATTAATTTCAATGAATTACATGTGATCACAAAATAATTCATCTGATTGAGTGTACTAAGACTTTGAAGTGCAGCCACTTCTGTAATTAGGCATCAAAGAAGATTAAAATTTCCCACAAACCATCTTCCTAATAAACATGTAGCATCATCAGTTCTTGAAATCACCATACTCTTACCCACCGAGCACTCTGAAATCCAAATGTGTTAATATATCATTTCTTTTCTGTACCACCTTGAATTTTCTGTGGTGATTGTTTTAGAAAAAAGCATGCAGTGGAAAAAGAATTGTATAGACCACTGAGGCTTTAACTGAAACAAAATGAAATCCTCATTTTGCCAGTTTTCTCTTTTGCCTTTAGCAACATGTAGTATGTTTTCTCACATTTGACCAGGGAAAACAGATTTCTTGTCTTTGTTATGTTTTATTTTTTTCTACACTACACATTGTATCTGTTCCATAATGTGTTATTCATTTTGTTAATTAGACAATAGTAACCTCAAGGCATAAAGATTGAGGAAAACTGTGTATAATATGGAGAGCACAATGTTCTTTATGTGCAAAATTGCTTACCCTATCTTCCTCAGTAATCACAGAATAAAGAGATAGGTTAAAGACCTTTTAACTGTGTAGATCACTCCCTCCAATTGATTCACTTGGATATTACATGATCCTTATCCCTTTTCACATTGTCACGGTAGTGTTGGACACCTCAGTTTAATTAATATTAACTGAGTAAATTAATAAAAATGTAGTAGTTTCTACTGTCAGTTTTCATCAACTGATTATGCTTAGCTTAACATATTCCCGTCAGATATTTTTTTCCTTAAATTTTATTTGTATTACTTTAATATTCAAATACATTAACTTATTTAAAGAGATGGGGCTTTCCACACCACATATAACATATATTAGTAGATATTCAAAGAATACTTATAATTAAATTGAAAGGGTTAATGTAAAAAGAACTCAGTGGAATTTATGGATGTTATAATATTTTCAAATAATGGGGTGAGACAATTGTGTTAGCTACAGATAAATAATCTAAACCTGGATCCTGGATCCAGACAATTAAACTTGTCCAGTTGATCCATATATTAGAGTAGTATCAAATTTTAAATAATTTTCTATAACAATAATAATAGATATTTACTATGCACTTACTAGGAGCTCTGGTGGTGTAGTGTCTAAGGTGATTGACTGCTAACCAGAAGGCTGGCAGTCCAAACCCACCAGCCACTCCTTAGAAGGAAGATTGAGTAATCTACTTCTGTGGTGATACTGCCTTGGAAACTCAAAGTGGGGTCTCTATGAGTTGGATACAACTCGATGGCAGTGAGTTTTTTTTTTTTTTTCTTTTGGATGCACTTACTGTGTGCCAGGCACTGCCCTAAGGGCTTTTCATGTATTAACTCATATCAATCTTAAAAAAAAAAAAAAAAAA